ATTCTTGATCACCTCCATCTTATGAATTTTATGGGTTTTATTTTATGGTCTAGTGTAATTTAAAATGTAAAATAAAATATTTATTTTTAAAATTTAAAATAAAAAAATATCAAAACTACAATGAAACTAAACAAAACTTAATTTAAAGGCAAGTTTTTATTCCTTTTTTTTTTTTCTCGTAGTTGAATTATGATGAAGGAATAATTTTGGTCCTAAGATGTCGGAGGACTGTTGTTCACTTGGTAGGGAGAAAGCAAGCAACAAATGTTAAACCCAATCATCACATTCTATTTTATTTTATTTTTTAATTTCTACTTCAATTAGAAGAAAAAAAGAACCCCCAAGAAAATGATGTTTTCTTTCAAAGATCAAATGCAGTCACCATGATTTTAGTTTTTTTAAAGTAAATATGCATATCTTGAACAAATGGTGTTGTTTACGTCTTAAAGAAATTTCAGCCCAAAAAATTAAGATGCTATTAGTTTCTTGAGAAAAAGTTTAATTTGATGCAACCTTACCACTCAACCATAGCATTCAACCAATTGTTCTCTGTAAACGGTGTTAACATTGCCTCAGTAGTAACAAGAAGAAATACAACATCAAAGAAAAAAAAAAAAAAGGAAGAAGAAGAAGAAGAAAAAAAAGACATACATGTCCTATTCTCTCTTCAGACAAAAATAATAATAATAATAATAAATATATTTTATATATATGAAAGGAAGCAAAAATGGCTGAAGGGAGAACCGATCAAAAATAACAAACAGATTTTTCTTTTCTCAAAAATTTCTCAGCTCACGCCATTCAAAACTGAACAGGCAGGTACAAAACCATTAGTCTGGCCTGAGATTCATGATAGCTTAAGGCGATGTATTGCAACCCCATTTCGGGCAGCTGGATGCCGTCCCCATCTTCCTAGACGAGGTTCCTGCAATACAAGCGTAAATCCTTTAGCAAGTCAGAATATATGGAAACCTATATACAGCATTGCAACTTGTTCACAATGTAAAATCCATGCATGTGCAAAGCTTCAATTTTCGTTTATTTCATGAAGCATAGGTAAATGAACTTTCAACAACCATTAAGACCACCCCGCTTTTTTAATCATATTTGGGATCATGAATCATGATCATGGACCAATGCTTCACCTGACCAACTCCAGCAATGATCAACTGTCCAGATTTGGCAAAAGCTAGGGAATTTGCAAATCCAACCTGCATGTCACATAAGAACCAATCACTAGAAAATTCTATTTATAAATTCCCTCACTAGCCCCAAAAAAAGAAAAAAAGGGAAGAAGAAGAAGAAGAAGAAGAGAAGCTGTCAGAGACCTGAATAATGAACAAGTCAGAAATCCAGTTATCATCACTTAAATATTCAAATTTTAAAGCAACTGTTTCCAGAACCTTTATTTTGTTAAGACTTCTCTTTCATCAACATACATGGTAATAGTAATAGAAATGAGCAAACATCCTATAATTTGTGGAGTTCAGCATGAACAATTTTAAAATCTGTCATAAGACTATGAGTGCTGAAAATTCATCCTATTGAAGACAAAAGGAATATTCTGTTGCACTAAAAAATACAAGATTTCAAGAATAAAAAAGCCACCGTAGCAATCAATAAAAATTAGGTTTCTCATTTGCAAATTAAGCTTACCAATGGAAGGTCATACAAGGGCCGAATGCCTTTGCTCTCACTATCAAGGGCCCACAATCGGACACAACCATTACCAGCTCCTGATGCAGCCAGATCACTGCCCCTACATAAAGTAACTGAACTGACCCATGAATATGTTGTTGACCTGTTACAACTTTTGGGGAGATGATCCCCATTTTCTGCAAAAGTAAGAATCATCCCATCAGTGTCCAAATTGACTAGAAAAATGCAAGGAAGGAATACAAAGATGCGCAGATTAAAAAGAGGAGAAAGAGGATAGATTGAAAAGGCTAAACAATAGATTAAAAGGCAAAAAATAGATGGGAGTTGAAAATGAGGAGAAAAAAGGGAGCAAACATTACTTATGGGGTTATCAGGAATCAGTCTAAAAGGAATCATGAAAAAAGAATTTGTATGGGGAAAAGCAAAAACTAACTTAACAAAATGGTTAAAAGGATCAAATTCTAACTTCAATACACCACTAAAGTAAACACAACAATATTTTATACACACAAACACTGAAACTGTAATACCAGGGTTCCCAGCTTTCAACCTTCATCTTTTAATTTACCTATGTTGCCTTCTGGAATTATCTCATCATCTCTATCTTGAACTTTCTTAAGGGCAGGCAGCAAAGCATGAGCATTCTTAATGATGTGTAGAGGCTTCTTTTTTAATATGGTCCAAAGTTCAACACTTCCATCATCCGAGCCAGATAAGAATTCATCATTGTTAATAAAGCAGCAACATTCCAAAGATGATGCTGGAGCACGAAATACTAACCGTGACTCCTCAGGGACCTATATAACAGAGAAAGATACAGGAATGTATCAAAATATATAAGAAAAAGATAAAAGACATAGAAATCTTAAGGTTTAATACAGCAAATACTTATAAAATGCTCCAGTTTATGTTGGAAACAACAATCAAAGGACTTGGAAGCATGCAAATTGATAGATATATAAATGAAACAACAAGCTTCAGATGGGATCATTTTTTTAGCCTATGACTTTAAATTGGAAATTACATAAAAAATTTTAAGTAATCAATTTACCTTAAACAATTGCATGGTTCGATCACGGCCAACGGTCAGTACCCGTTCCTTCCGTAGGCAATCAATGGTTAATACCTCACTTTGATGTCCATACAGTGTGTTAATATAAGCTCTATCTTCAACATTCCATATCTTGACTGTTCGATCAAATGATCCAGAAAAGAGTTCAGTGCTTCCTAGCCTGAAAGTTAAACATGACACAGGTCCTCTATGACCTGGAAAGGCCTGTCAAGTGCACAATTGAAAGGTTAAATCACAAAAATGTATAGTTCGGGAGTGAATGATAGTTTTCATGCAATAACAAACAAAAAACTTCACAAGGGATAAAATTAATTGAAAAGATTTAAGTAATTCAATTTTCCATGAGTTTATAATTGCTAATCTTTTTTTATGGGATATAGTAGGTGAATCGAAATTGCAGCAGATAAGCCACTACAAAAAGCAGCACAATGCCCCATTATCTACCAATTAGATGCCATTGAGGTAAATGAGAGTTCCCTCTCATTTTTCCAACAGAAAGCAATGCTATTATCATTGTTTAAACTTTCATACAAGATGGTTTCCCTTTAAAACTTTACACCATTTTTCCTCAATAAAGATCTACCCAGCATAGCTTAATATTTCTGAAATGAACAAATTACCTGTAAATGGTCTCGAGTGCGAGTGTCCCACAGATGAACATGGCGATCTAAACCACCAGTTGCCAAATATCGACCGTCAGAGCTAACAGCTAATGCTAAAACTTGTTTGCTGTGCTTTGTAGCTCGACCTTGTGGATCCTTGACTCCTTGTGTTCTCAGAACTTCCTCACTAGGCCATTGGTACTTTTCACTTTTCCCACTTTCTACATCCCAATGTAGAATAGTCCCATCTTTGGATGCTGAAAAGCCCTTCAAGTCATCCTCAGATAAAGCTACAGCAGTGACAGATTGCCGATGTTTCACCAAAACTCGAAATTCATCAGAAGGTTCTGGCCTTTTAACCCTGGCTTGTTTACATTTCAACAAATTCAGTTTCAAAAAAAAAAAAAAAAGTATCCAAGACAAACAAGGCATGTGAAATTCTTCACAAGACATTAATCAAATGAAAAATGATTTTACTGTAATGTACTTTGCAAAAGATAATCAACAGGATTTAATCCTAAGGCACCCAAAACAATTCATGGAATGCAGTAAAACTACAGGATGGCGATGCTATTACATCGAATAACATGGAAATTCACTAATTTACAAAAAACTACACCAGCTACTATCTTTTTCTTTTTCTTTTTTTTTAAGGGTCAATTTAAGAAAGACCATCAGTTCAAATTCTAAGTTGAATTCAGAAATTAGAAAATAAAACCAAAAGTTGATGCAAGTTGACCCAAACAACTCTAACAAGAAATAAAGATGCATTTTCCAAATTGACAGCAAACTAAGCCACAAACCATCTTAACACATGCAATCATTATTATATCAATCCAGAGATATTGGATCAATTTCTAATTTTACCTGGAGGCAATGACTCTTCTAACCCTTCCACTCTCTTCTAGCTGCTCCTGCTGCAAAATCTTCGCGACAAGGGTATCCCTTTCTCCTTCCTTTTCACTCTCCCTTTCATCTTCATGCTCTTCCTCCTCTTCCCTTTCCCTCTTGGCTATTTCCCGAATCTTCTCCAGATACTGCGCCGCAATCCTCTTCCGCCTCTCATCCGCAGTCTCCTCTATACCCTCATTGTCTTCCTCAATACCAGCGTAAGAACCTCCAGGAACCTCCATTTCCTCCTCAGAGTCCCCCGAGTCGATGTCATCATCGTCGTCGTAATCGGACTTCCGCCGCTTCTTGTAGTCTGTGAAGAAGGAGTCTTGGTTTATAGAAAAAGTCTTCCCCTCTTTCCTTGCTTTCCTCTTCTGATTCTTGTTCTTCATTATTTTTATTAAATTAAAGTTGCAGCACAAAAGCAAAAGGGGTATGAGTATAGAGAAACAGATTCTGCAGATGTATGGTTTTGGAGGAGAGCTATTTAGGGTTTAAGCTGCTTTTAGGGTTTTTGTGAGAGGAGATAGACAGGGTGGATGTGGGTCGGTTCTCAGTTGTGTTTAGATCTCGGGTCATGTGGGTTTGCCGACCCGGAAATCCGTTTAAATTATTTTATTTTTATTTTTATTTTTATTTTTTATAAACAGGGTGAATTGGTTTGTTTTAACTTTTAACCTGACCTGCGCTTAAAAGTTAAAACATTGTAAAATGTGAAACAATAAAAATCATGAGGACATTTTTCACGCAGTCTTTATTCATGAAAAAGACACAATCTTTTTTAAAAAATGGTTGAATTTGGTTTTCTTTTATTTTTCTTATTTTAAATAATTGTTATAATCAATTTATGGGGTAAGACTTTCTTTTATCTATGTGTAGATGCTATATGATTAATTTGTTATTGATAAATAAATTTTTAATATTTTTGTGTTATTCAAAAATAATAAAAAAAAGCACTTAAGTACGTTAGAAATTTATTTTAGGTTAAAATAAAAGATTAAATCATAAAAATTTCTTTTTTATTGGACAAATCATAGAAAGTACTTAAATTGTAATAGAAGTCCCATATTAAAAATCTAATACAAGAGGGAAAGATATACAATTTGTTCCTGTTTATATTCAAACTTATATTGTCAAATTTGGAAATAGTTAAATCTTAATAAAGTATTTTAATTATAAATAACATCTAATATTGATATTTATCAACTTTCTACCATTAGTTATTTCTTGTAAATTAAACAAAATAGGGTGTAATTTTAAACTTTAGCCAAGTTTAATGAGATGTTTAAATTAGCCCTTTTTTTTTTTTTTTGAACATATTTGCAAGGGGCGGGTTTCGAACCCAGCCCGAGAAAGAGGGAATGCACTGAGGTGACTATTGCTACTAGGCCACAAGGGCCAGGTGCGTTTAAATTAGCCGTTTTAAAAGTAATGCATAATAAATATTTGATTTTCGATGATTATATTATTTTTTATATTTCTAATATTTTTATTCATTTTACTAGTTTAAACTTTGATTCAGTGATCTTTAATATAAAATTATCAATCAATATATTTTAATTTACTTTAAAAGTGTTGTGCCATTTGGTTATAACCATAGATTTTTCCATCTGTAGCTATCAAAACAATATATAAAATATTGATTAAAATTAATGGTTAAAACCTCATTTTGGTCCCTCAACTATTGTACGGACCCCCGATTTGATCCCTGAACTAAAAAAATCCCTGATTTGGTCCTTACTGTTTACTATTTTGACCTCGATTTAATCCTTCCATTAAAAATTGATTGACGTGTCCCATTACCTGACGGAAATAGATGACAGCATGGCAAAAAAAGAATGATATGGCAAAAAAAAGAATGACATGGCAAAAAAAAACCTTAAAATATTTCCTTTTTTTTTTTCCTTTCATCTTCTTCCTTCCCTTTTATCTTCTTCCTTCCCTTTCGCCTTCTGCAAACCCTAACAACTTCTAACATTAAATCAAAAAATAATACAAACCCAGAATCTCCCAAAACTAGTTACCGCCCTAAATTCTTTCTTTCAACCTTCCCAAAAAAACTCAAAAATATCATGATATATTTTTTCAAAATTCAAGCTTCTAAACATAAATATTAAAAAAAAAAAAAGAAATCGAACCCTCGCTGGGTTCTTGAGAACCCAGTAGATGGCTGGGTTCTTGATCGAACCCAGTGATCTGCTGGGTTCTCAATCTGCTGGGCAAATTTTTTTCCTCAACCAAATTTTACCAAATTCTCAATGAGAACAGCCCACACAAACAAAATATTCACTAGCAAAATAATCAGCTGCAACCCAAAAATATCCATAAAATTCAAGCTTCTAAACATAAATATTTAAAAAAAAAAAAATCAAAC